AAGGGTGACCCTAGGGAGGTGAAGAATTGGAGGCCGGTGGCTTTATTGTGCACTGATTATAAGATCCTGTCAAAGGCTTTGTCCAACAGGCTGAGGGAGGTGATGGGGCAAATCATACATACGGACCAGTCCTACTGTGTTCCCGGAAGGCAGATAGGGGATAACATTTCTCTGATTCTGGATTTTTTGGACGTCTCTAGGGCTATTGTGTTGGATGCTGGTCTAATTTCAATTGATCAGGAAAAGGCATTTGACCGAGTTGAACATCAATACTTATGGCACACTTTTAAGGCGTTTGGTTTCAGCTCTGGTTTTATTGCCATGATACGGGTGATATATGGTGACATTGAAAGTGTATTGAAAGTTAACGGTAGCTTGAGTGCTCCTTTTAAAGTGTGTAGAGGTATTAGGCAGGGATGTTCTTTGTCGGGAATGTTATATGCCATTGCTATAGAGCCACTACTAAATAGCATTAGAAGTCGCATTGAAGGGGTGTACCTTTCAGAGGATATTCCTCCTATTTGTCTCTCAGCCTATGCTGATGATGTAGTTATTTTAGTGGAAAATCAAGCAGAGGTGGATAGTTTGAGTCTAATGGTTGATCGTTTTAGGGGAATATCCTCTGCAAAGGTAAATTGGGAAAAAAGTTGTGCTTTACAGATTGGATAATGGTCTGGAGGGATCTTGGCTTTGCCAGGGGTGCTGGAATGGTGTAAGTGAGGTTTTAAGTATCTTGGAGTGTACCTAGGAGATGAGGGGACAATGGAAAAAAAATTGGATTGGGGTGGTTGAAATGGTGGAAGGGAGGATGAGGAGATGGCGTTGGTTGTTATCTCGTATGTCATATAGGGGGCGCAGTATTATAGTTAACAATGTGATTGCCTCTGCACTGTGGCATCGGTTGTCAGTTTTAGAGCCACCATCTGGCCTTCTGGCTAAAATACAGGCGATTATTGTAGATTTATTTTGGGATAAATATAATTGGGTTCCACAAAGTGTTTTGTATTTGTCAAAAGAGGAGGGGGGACAAGGTCTTGTACATCTTGCTAGTAGGACTGCTGCTTTCCGGTTTCAGTTTATTCAAAAGGTTGCTTTATGGACCGGAAAATGTGGTTTGGAGAGGGGTGGCAGGTCTTGTATTACAGCAGGTTGGGGGATTAGGTTTAAAGAAGGCTTTATTTTTGGTTGATAGTAGCCAGATTTCTAGAGAGGGAGTACCTCCGTTTTACAGAGGTTTCTTAGGGTGTGGAGAATAATGAAGGTGTCCAGACGCACTTCAGCGGAGTCAGTGCATTGGCTGTAGGAGGAACCTCTGGTGTATGGGGCAAGACTGGATTGTATAACTGCAGCTGTTCCACATTTCTCCAAGATTCTTGTGAAGGGCAAAATCATCACCTTAAAACAGTTCATGGCCATGGCTGGGCCCACCTTAATGGATGGAAGACGGGTGGCTGAACATTTGGGGGTGAGGTCGGAAAGGATTGTCGGTCAACTGCTGGGAAGCTGCAGGAAGGCTCTGTCAGCAGAGAGTGTGGTATGCTTAATAGCCATAAGAAGAAGGTGCAAGATGAAAACGTCTCATTTCCAAGACTAGGGATTACACCCAATGTCCCAGAGTCAGAAAGAAAGGCGTTATTACTGGATTTGAGATGGTTGGAAGAGGTGGGTTTGGATGAGGTGAATGGGAAATACTTATATAGGGGGTGTGTCAAGGTGTTGAATAAAGATACATTGAAAAATAGAAAATACACTCCATGGAGGGTACAATTGGGCATTGATGACAAGGTAAAGCCAGCATGGAGAGCACTGTACAAGCCTCCGTTACAAAAGGGTACTGGTGATATGCAATGGAGGGTTTTGCATGGCATCATTGCAGTTAATTATTTTGTATCTGTTATTAACTCAGATGTTGGAGATGGATGTCCTTTTTGTAACATAAGATAAACAGTTGTTCACTGTTTTATGGAGTGTGAGAGGATAAAGCCTCTCTTGGAGATGCTGGAGTCTTTGTTTAAAGCTGTAGGGGAGATTTTCAATAACACTGTTTTTATTTTGGGGTTTCAATATAGTAAGCAACAGAAAGAAAATGTCAACTGTTACATTTTATTGTGGGACAAGCTAAGATGTCAATTTTTCTGAGTAGGAAACAAGATAGAAACGGGATATGGGCAGGATGTAAGATGTGTTTTTAAAGGATTAGTGAAAGCGAGAATAAAAGTGGATTTTGAGTTCTTCTCGGCTGTAAAAGATCCCCCATTGTTTGAGGAGAAGTGGGCTTACGAAGGAGCGGTTTGTTTTGTGGAGGAGGGGAAACTATTTTTTTGTTGATGAAATGAGTTGAATGTATATATATATACAGTGGGGAAAAAAAGTATTTAGTCAGCCACCAATTGTGCAAGTTCTCCCACTTAAAAAGATGAGAGAGGCCTGTAATTTTCATCATAGGTACACGTCAACTATGACAGACAAAATGTGATTTTTTTTTCCAGAAAATCACATTGTAGAATTTTGTATGAATTTATTTGCAAATTACGGTGGAAAATAAGTATTTGGTCACCTACAAACAAGCAAGATTTCTGGCTCTCACAGACCTGTAACTTCTTCTTTAAGAGGCTCCTCTGTCCTCCACTCGTTACCTGTATTAATGGCACCTGTTTGAACTTGTTATCAGTATAAAAGACACCTGTCCACAACCTCAAACAGTCACACTCCAAACTCCACTATGGCCAAGACCAAAGAGCTGTAAAAGGACACCAGAAACAAAACTGTAGACCTGCACCAGGCTGGGAAGACTGAATCTGCAATAGGTAAGCAGCTTGGTTTGAAGAAATCAACTGTGGGAGCAATTATTAGGAAATGGAAGACATACAAGAACACTGATAATCTCCCTCGATCTGGGGCTCCATGCAAGATCTCACCCCATGGGGTCAAAATGATCAAAAGAACGGTGAGCAAAAATCCCAGAACCACACGGGGGGACCTAGTGAATGACCTGCAGAGAGCTGGGACCAAAGTAACAAAGCCTACCATCAGTAACACACTACGCCGCCAGGGACTCAAATCCTGCAGTGCCAGATGTGTCCCCCTGCTTAAGCCAGTACATGTCCAGGCCCGTCTGAAGTTTGCTAGAGTGCATTTGGATGATCCAGAAGAGGATTGGGAGAATGTCATATGGTCAGATGAAACCAAAATATAACTTTTTGGTAAAAACTCAACTCGTCGTGTTTGGAGGACAAAGAATGCTGAGTTGCATCCAAAGAACACCATACCTACTGTGAAGCATGGGGGTGGAAACATCATGCTTTGGGGCTGTTTTTCTGCAAAGGGACCAGGAAGACTGATCCGTGTAAAGGAAAGAATGAATGGGGCCATGTATCGTGAGATTTTGAGTGAAAACCTCCTTCCATCAGCAAGGGCATTGAAGATGAAACGTGGCTGGGTCTTTCAGCATGACAATGATCCCAAACACACCGCCCGGGCAACGAAGGAGTGGCTTCGTAAGAAGCATTTCAAGGTCCTGGAGTGGCCTAGCCAGTCTCCAGATCTCAACCCCATAGAAAATCTTTGGAGGGAGTTGAAAGTCCTTGTTGCCCAGCGACAGCCCCAAAACATCACTGCTCTAGAGGAGATCTGCATGGAGGAATGGGCCAAAATACCAGCAACAGTGTGTGAAAACCTTGTGAAGACTTACAGAAAACGTTTGACCTGTGTCATTGCCAACAAAGGGTATATAACAAAGTATTGAGAAACTTTTGTTATTGACCAAATACTTATTTTCCACCATAATTTGCAAATAAATTCATTAAAAATCCTACAATGTGATTTTCTGGATTTTTTTTCTCGTTTTGTCTGTCATAGTTGACGTGTACCTATGATGAAAATTACAGGCCTCTCTCATCTTTTTAAGTGGGAGAACTTGCACAATTGGTGGCTGACTAAATACTTTTTTCCCCCACTGTATATATATATATATATACATGTATGCTTTTGTATTTTTATTTAATTTTTTTTTAATTTTTATTTAGGAATGACATTTGTTGTTTCATTTCTGAAAAGGCAGTGTGCCATTATTTGTGTAAACACTTGAGTATAAAATAAAGGTTTTATAAAAACTCTCCCTCTCTCTATATCCCTCTCTCTCTAACTCTCTCCCTCTCTCTCTCTAACTCTCTATCCCTTTCTCTCTCTCTCTATTCCGCAGCCTCCGCGGTCTATCCCTCTATGCCCTCCCCTCTCTTCCCTCCCTCCTCTCTCTCTCGGTCCTCCCTTCCATGCTCTCTTTCTCATACTCTCTCTCCTCTCCTCTCTCCTCTCTCTCTCGCCTCGCTCTCTCTCTCTACCCTTTCTTCGCTCTCTCCTCTCCTCCTCTAGTCCCTCTCCTCTCTACTCCCTCTCCTCTCCCTCTGCCCGCCCCCGGCGCCTACTCTCCGCCTCTCGCCACCTGCGTCCCTTGCCGCTCAACCTCTCTTCACGCTCTCTCGCCCGCTCCCTCGCGCTCTCAAACCCCCATTAGCTATCGGCTCCCTCTATCCTCGCTCCCTCCCCACTTTTTAACCCTCTCTCTCTCGCTATCTCGCTCTCCTATCTTCTCTAATCGACCCTCTTCTTTTGCTCTCTAACATCAAACTCAAATCCTTCCTTCTTCGTAATCTAAGACCTTAAATTTCTCTCTATTCAGCTATCCGGGAACCTCATTCTCGATCCTTCGCTCGCTCACTATCACGCACCCTATCTCTTCTAATCCTCTCTATCCAGAGCCTGCTCATCTATATCCATTCCGACTCCTCCTACTAGCGAATGCGCATACCGCTTCTCCCTCTCTCTATTCCTCTCTCTCCTCTCTCTCTCTCTCTCTCCCTCCCTCTCCCTCTCCCTCTCTCTTGCTCTCCCTCCCTCCCTCTCCCTCTCTCTCTCTATTCCTCTCTCTCTCTCTCTTTTTCATCTCCTCTTTTTCTCCTTCCCCATTCCTTTCCTACAGGAATGAAGATGCTATCAACCAGATGGCCGTTCCCCCCTTTCCAAACCCTCCTGCTGTCCTCTCCTCCACTGAGGTGAGTCCTATTCTCATGCACACACACACACACACCTAGCTACACACATACACTCCTATGACCGAATGGTCATCCAAAAGCTGATGATCAGATATGTTATGCGAAAGCATCTGCTCAGGCCTAAACACAAACGCACCTCCAAAAGCAACAAAACAATAACTGAAATCTATCAGAAATCGTCAGCCCTTGGTCCAAAATGGACCCTTCTTATCCAAAACATGCATGTTTTTTTGTTGCACATATCTGATCAGTGCACTTATCTGGAGATATGAACTCAATTGGAAGGAATGGCAGTGCAGTCGACAACTTTCTACTTTGAATGTGTTGACTCAATGTATCATCATCACCACCACCACCACCATCATCATCATCACCACCACCACCATCATCATCATCATCATCATGACCATCATCATCATCATCATCATCATCATGACCATCATCATCACCACCACCATCATCATCATGACCATCATCATCATCATCACCACCACCATCATCATCATGACATCATCATCATCATCATCATCATGACCATCATCATCACCACCACCATCATCATCATCACCATCACAATCATCATCATCATTATTGTTATCCCAGACTCATCCCCCCAAATCAACAGCAGCAGCGGTGGTAGTGGCTCCGGCCCCCACAGAGAAGCCCCAACCCCCAGAGAGTCTGGCCCTCAGCAGGGGACCCCTGGAGGCCTCCATCTCCATCAGCAAGGTAAGAGTCTCCACTCCACCACGCTCTGTTACCTGTCCTAAAACTGACAGATAAAGGGAGGGACTACCTGGACTTGTCCAATAAGAAACGCTTTTTTTCTTTTTCTGTTGCAAAGAAAAGAAACCCTGTTTTGCTACATTTTGCATATACTTATGAATACGAACCTGATGTTGGATTGAAGTGTTACGTCTAGCTGTCTTTTTAATAAATGTTCTGCTCAGTGTCTTGGCAATTCTGTTGCTCTGACCTGTATTTCTCTCACTCTCTCTCTCTCTCTTTCTCTGCCTCTCGCTCACACACGCACACACAGGTGAATCCCAGTGTTGGGTCCAGTGGGAACACAGCTACGGAGTTTGTGTCCAGAGAAGCGACACTCAAGATCCTCAGAGAGGGAGAGACTTCCTCAAAGGTCAGCCCATGTGTTACTTCCTCTTTGCACCCTACAAGTCCCTACCAGCCTGAGGAGCCTCCGTGTGTCCAGGCAACAAGCCACTGAGTTGTTTACTGACTTGATTTCTCAGGTCTAAATTAGTTGAGCAACTTAAAAGTCAAGCATGAACACCAGGCAGTCATTGCAAACCCCTAACATGAACACCAGGCCAGCTCATTGCCCAAACCCCTAAAATGAACACCAGGCAGTCACCTACACCCTAACATGAACCCCAGGCAGTCACCTTTGAACCCCTAACATGAACCCAGGCAGTCACCTTTACACCCCTAAACATGAACACCAGGCAGTCACCCTTTACACCCCTAACATGAACACCAGGCAGTCACCTTTTACACCCCCTAACATGAACACCAGGCAGTCACCTTACACCCCTAACATGAACACCAGGCAGTCACCTTTACACCCCTAACATGAACACCAGGCAGTCACCTTTACACCCCTAACATGAACACCAGGCAGTCACCTTTACACCCCTAACATGAACACCAGGCAGTCACCTTTACACCCCTAACATGAACACCAGGCAGTCATTGCACAAACCAAAACAAATGCACTTTCCTTTTGAAGTTTTCCAGGGTGATGAATTCAAACCTGTGACCTGTATTCTTCTGACCTAGTGTGTGTGTGTGTGTGTGTGTTGTGTGTGTGTTCATGCTTGTAACTCTTGTTTGTGCTCTCTGCAGAAGCTCAAGGCCTCAGAGAAGGAGGCGGCTGAGTCTTCGGAGAGTGTGACTGTGCCAGCTGCCAAGACCCCTCTGGAGCAGGTGAGCATGACAGTGGATTTGGGTTACCTCTATCCCTAACACTCCATGTAGTGCAATGGAAGGTAGAATGAATCAGAGCGACCTCACAGTATCAGACAACTTGTGTTTAATATTTAACAGTAAAATGCATTATTCAGTTAATCGCAGCTATTTTAAAGATCTGGTAAAATATTGAATGATATTTATGTTTCTGTTGTGTTTTGCCGTGTGTGTGCGTGTGTGCGTGTGTGTGTGTGTGTGTGCGTGAAGCAGCTGACTGAGCCAATCCCACTCAGGGTTGGCATAAAAACCGGCTACCCATTGAGTGCCGTTAACGTCATCCATCAACCAGTGTCTGAAATGGCAATGCCAGTGTGCCCCAGCCCATGTGCGGACACCGAACCCAGGACAGGGGTATGCTGATGACTTTCAGATCTCCTCCAGAGAGGAGCATGTTATCAAAGACATGCTTTCTCGCACAGATGACTTTTTGAAATGGTCTGGGCAGGAAGTGAAAGACACTAAATATGCAGTGTTCTATGAAAGATGCAGCGGAGGTAAGCGCTGGTACAAGTCTAGAACTGATAAGCCCCCAACATTTACACTAACGAATAAACCAATCAGAGTTTACTCTCGTCACGAAACATATAGTTATCTTGGACAGAAGTTTAATGTTGCTGGCGAGTGGGGGGAACAAGTTGAGGAGCTCGTCCATGAGTATTCAACCAGGCTTGATATGATTGACATTTCCCCTCTGCCTGTGGTCATGAAGCTAGAAGCTGTGAGAGAGGTGGCCCTAGCAAAGATTCAACATCTGCTTGCAAATGTGCAAATCCCACAGAAGGTTCTGAGGGAAATGAATAACAAAACTGTTCAAGTGGTGAGAAAGTGGCTATGCTTAAACACACACACCACACGTGATGTTGTCTTCCTGAGCCAAAGAGAGGGGCGTTTAGAAGTCCCGAATATTGAGTGGTTTGCACTGCTACCAGACTGATTCACCTGTTGAACATGCTCAACAGTGACGATGTGACAGTTAGGGAGTTAGCCAGAGTCTCCCTCCTTCTGGACCTACAGGGGAGGAAGGTTCCACTGGCCAGGGACACTGAGGACAACTTCCTGGGCTTCAGGAGGAAGGCCAATGGAAAATTGGACACACTTGCTGCGGGCTTTGGAGTCTGGTCAGACTGGCCGGACCTCAATGACCTGTGCAACCGGACTGGAGTGGAGCTCAGGTGGACACGGTGCAAACTGAGCCAGTGACTGCCTCTGTGTAGTCCCCTGTAGCTCAGTTGGTAGAGCATGGCGCTTGCAACGCCAGGGTTGTGGGTTCGTTTCCCATGGGGGGCCAGTATGAAAATGTATGCACTCACTAACTGTAAGTCGCTCTGGATAAGAGCGTCTGCTAAATGAGTAAAATGTAAAAATTGCAGTTGTGGCAGATTGCGGTGTTGTTGTGGAGGCTTCTGTCACCCATGGTGGAACATCTCATCCTACATCCATGACAACACTCCTTGGTATCAGACGGATGCAGCTACTGCAACACTGAACTGGCCTGAGGCTGCAGGGGAAACTCTCTGCTCTGGACTGTGCTGTCCACTCTGTCTCCCATTCCATATACCAGAATGCTGCCATTGGCGAAGACATTCTCACCTTTACTGTTAAGGGGAGGCTGCAAGTTCTACCAACAAAATATAATCTAGCACTCTGGTACCCTGCAAACCATGACCCATTTTGTATTCTACATGAGTCAAATGTAATGTAGTCCATTGCCCATGTTGTGAATGGCTGCTGTTTTGTACATTGCTAGACATGACCGCCTTGTTGACCTGATAGCCAGCGAGGTGAGACAACAGGTCTCACCAACAGCACACATGCAGAAACATTCTTGTGTAAGAGGAAGCTGGTTTGATGTTGATGATGATGTGTTTTCCTGTGTGCCAAATACGCCAGATATTGTTATTGTGGGGGGAGGCCAGGGGGAGGGGCTCATTTTGGAAGTGGGCTGCTCATTTGACGGCTACATGGAGCAGGCCTTTGCCGAGAAGCTGCTTAAATACCAGCCCCTCATGGCATGCTTGGACAGCCTTGGGTGTAGGTGCAAGCTGGTGGCACTGATATTTGGAGGTCTCGGCCACGTACACAGGCTTGCAGTGCGTGGCCTCCAGATTGCAGGCCTGACAGGAACTAGGGCAAAGCAATTGGCTAGGTACTGCTCTGTTTCAGCTGTCGTGGGCAGAAGAAGGAGAAGGAGGTGCTTTCTGTACCCTTGAGTGCCATGCATACAGGGACCTTTGAAATGTTTGGATCCTTTTTTTGTCACTTTGATTGGTGGATTCAAATAAAGTATTTAAAATGTGTGTGTGTGTGTGTGTGTGTGCGCAGACTGCAAGCCTGTCCAAAACCTGTCGGCTCTCCATTAAGCTGCCTGTGGTGAGCTCTGTGGAAGGGGGGCTGGTGTCCCCCCCTGCCTCCTCCCTGCCTTCCTCCTGCACCAGCCCAGACTTTGAGTACTGCAGCAAAGGTATGGACCCACACTCACAACTAGCAGGCCATTTACAGGGCTAGGGACCCAGTGAGCACAAGATGTTGAAAATACGTATTTTCAACGTCTTGTGCTCACTGGGGAAGAACTGTTTTACTCAATATCAGCTGTCTATTAATTTATCTATTAAATTCTTTGTGCAGAAAGTTGTGAATCGACACCTGTTTATGTGTGTTATACAGTATATTCCATAATATTAATTATAAAGGAGACAACCAACAATATAAACTCTCTTGCCTTGAGGTTTAATAACAGAAACTCTCTTTATCTCTCCTCCCTCTACCTATGCTGTAGACCCAGCCACGTGCCCTATCGTTCCAGGCCAGGAGATAGTCATAGAGATCGCCAAGGGTCGCTCTGGCCTGGGCCTCAGCATCGTAGGAGGCAAAGACACCCAGCTGGTAAGACTGCTAGCCCTGCTCAGGGCCGACCATGTTGACCATGACAGGTTACGTCAACTTGTCTCCATCTCAGCCAGAGGTGAGAGCCACAGCCGCACTGCAGAGTAGCCTAGCTCTCTCTCTCTCTCTCTCTCTCTCTCTCTCTCTCTCTCTCTCTCAGTTTCCTTAGAACACACAGCAGCAGCTACTGCCATTTAATTGAATGATCTGTAGCCATGTTGCCCAAGGACAGCATAGAAACATACATTCATTATGTTTCCACTGATCTTTCAAGAGGCTTTCAGTCCAGTTAGAAGACATATAGCCTAGCTTTGATCACCTCTACCTTTGTCTCTCTCTCTCTCTCTCTCTCTCTCTCTCTCTCTCTCTCTCTCTCTTTAGGATGCCATAGTGATCCATGAGGTGTATGAGGAGGGGGCGGCGGCACGCGATGGACGACTCTGGGCTGGAGATCAGATCCTGGAGGTTAGTCTCGCTCTTTCTTTCTTTCTCTCTCTCTCGCTTTCTCTCTCTCTCCCTCTGTTTCGCTCTCTCTTTCCCTATCGCTCGCTCTCGCTCTCTCTCTTTCTCTATCGCTCTCTGTCCCTCTATCTGTCTCTCTCTCTCAATGCAATTCAATTCAATAAATGCTTTATTGGCATGAATGGTGGTTGTCATTGTTGCCAAAGCAATGTACAGTTGAAGTCGGAAGTTTACATACACCTTAGCCAAATACATTTAAACTCAGTTTTCCACAATTCCTGACATTTAATCCTAGTAAACATTCCCAGTCTTAGGTCAGTTAGGATCACCACTTTATTTTAAGAATGTGAAATGTCAGAATAATAGTAGAGAGAATTATTTATTTCAGCTTTTATTTCTTTCATCACATTCCCAGTCGGTCAGAAGTTTACATACACTCAATTAGTATTTGGTAGCATTGCCTTTAAATTGTTTAACTTGGGTCAAACGTTTGGGGTAGCCTTCCACAAGCTTCCCACAATAAGTTAGGTGAATCTTGGCCCATTCCTCCTGACAGAGCTGGTGTAACTGAGTCAGGTTTGTAGGCCTCCTTGCTCACACACGCTTTTTCAGTTCTGCCCACACATTTTCTATGCGGTCATTGTCCATTTGGAAGACCCATTTGCGACCAAGCTTTAACTTCCTGACTGATGTCTTGAGATGTTGCTTCAATATATCCACATAATTTTCCTTCCTCATGATGCCATCTATTTTGTGAAGTGCACCAGTCCCTCCTGCAGCAAAGCACCCCCAAAACATGATGCTGCTTCATGGTTGGGATGGTGTTCTTCGGTTTGCAAGCTACCCCCTTTTTCCTCCAAACATAACAATGGTCATTATGGCCAAACAGTTCTATTTTTGTTTTATCAGACCAGAGGACATTTCTCCAAAAAGTACGATCTTTGTCCCCATGTGCAGTTGCAAACCGTAGTCTGGCTTTATTATGGCGGTTTTGGAGCAGTGGCTTCTTCCTTGCTGAGCGGCCTTTCAGGTTATGTCGATATAGGACTCGTTTTGCTGTGGATATAGATACTTTTGTACCTGTTTCCTCCAGCATCTTCACAAGGTCCTTTGCTGTTGTTCTGGGATTGATTTGCAATTGTCTTGGCTGATTTATTTTGATTTTCCCATGATGTCAAGCAAAGAGGCACTGAGTTTGAAGGTAGACCTTGAAATACATCCACAGGTACACCTCCAATTGACTCAAATGATGTCAATTAGCCTATCAGAAGCTTCTAAAGCCATGACATCATTTTCTGGACTTTTCCAAGCTGTTTAAAGGCACAGTCAACTTGGTGTATGTAAACTACTGACATTTACATTGACATTTAAGTCATTTAGCAGACGGTCTTACCCAGAGCGACTTACAACTGACCCACTGGAATTGTGATACAGTGAATTATAAGTGAAATAATCTGTCTGTAAACAATTGTTGGAAAAATTACTTGTGTCATCCACAAAGTAGATGTCCTAACCGACTTGCCAAAACTATAGTTTGTTAACAAGAAATGTGTTGAGTGGTCATTAAAACAAGTTTTAATGACTCCAACCTAAGTGTATGTAAACTTCCGACTTCAACTGTATATGAAGTATTACAAAAATGAACAATGTATTTGAGCAACAATATTTATAAACATCCACACAAAAAAAAGAATCATACATGAAAAAATTATACACACAAAATAAAACAAACAAGCAACAATTGAGACATTAAATAAAAAAATTGTGGGAGCTGTTGTCTCTCTTATAGTATAGTATGACAGGCCAGGACATGCTCTGTAGCAAGGTCTACTGTCTCCACGTTTTCTCCTAGAAAAAACTAAATACATCTCCTCAACAGGCAGTTTAAGAAATCCTGCAATACGTTTTTCAAATGTAATGAGATAAATACCTCAGATTGAAGCATATGTGGAGCCGTGAAGTAGGAAGAGCTGCTCATCCTGTACTTCACCTGACCCACAATGCTTACAAAGTCTTTCTTTTCTCTGCCTCTCATGTTTGTTTTATGGCATCCTGTTGCCAGGCGATCGGTCTGTACATTGTTGATGTCTTTGTTTGAAATATTGGATTTTGACGAGGTGCTTGTGATAATTCGATATCTGTTTAGAATTTTGTAATATTTAAGTTTGTTTTTAGATAGAATATAGTTTTGCCAATAATTAGTGTATGAATTTTAGATAGAGATTTCTATTTGTTTGAATTTTGTTATTGATGGTTGAATTGTTGAATTTAGCTGGTGCTTTTGGGCCAGTTGCTCTGAAGGGTCAGTCTCTCTTGGGATGATAATATTCTGGATTACAGTGTCCAGAATCTCCTGAGTTCTACCTTACAGGCTAGGCTTGGGGAATTTCTGTGCACACCTAGAATATTTTAGCTAAATTCCAGTAAGGTGAGGCTTTTCTCTAGCTCTCTCTCTCCTTCCCTCTGTCTCTCATTTTACATTTTAGTCATTTAGCAGATGTTTTTATTCCAGACCGACTTACAGGAGCAAATAGGGTTGCTCAAGGGCACATCGACAGATTTTTCACCTAGTCGGCTCGGGGATTCGAACCAGCGACCTTTCCATATCTGTTTAGAATGGGCCTGCCGTCCCCAATTTCAAATGCTCTACATTCTCAATTAAGTAAGCATTATATCACAATAATACTTTTTCATGCCTCTTAATAGGAAAGAGGAGACAACTGAAGATTGCAACAAAATATGTATTATTACTCCCATCTATCACATGCACTTATGTTAGCTTTTTCAAAAACGTTAAAACTGGCAGCGATGATGTTGTCTCTCGCGCTGTCTCTCTCTTTCTCTCTCTCTCCCTAACTTTCTCTCTCTAACTCTCTAACTGTCTATCTCGCTCTCTCCTCACCTTGTCTAACAGGTCTGCTAACTGTGCAGTTGAAAATAAACGATCACAGTTAACTCTGCACCTCTTATAACCTCATATCTTACATCACATTGTCGTGTCATGTTCCCCAGTGCACTCAATTTAGACAATGTCTCCATCTACTGGAATTATACAGAACTGCTATAATTTATCTGGCTTTCAGTAGGTGTTAGAGGGATAAAGGAGTGAGTGACTGTGTGTGTGTGTGTGTGTGTGTGTGTGTGTGTGTGTGTGTGTGTGTGTGTGTGTGTGTGTGTGTGTGTGTGTGTGTGTGTGTGTGTACGACCATCCAGGTAAATGGCGTGGACCTGCGCAGCGCGGCCCACGAGGACGCCATCACAGCCCTAAGGCAGACACCGGCCAAGGTGTGTCTTAAGGTTCTACGGGACGAGGCGCAGTATCGCAACCAGGAAAACCTGGATGTGTTCAGTGTGGAACTGCAGAAGAAGGCCGGCCGTGGCCTGGGCCTCAGTATTGTCGGCAAGAGGTACAGTAGCAACTCACTGACACACACACACTCGGTGTGTCTTCATAACAGAAGTTTCACCACAAGCAGGGAGTTTAATGTGAACCAGCAAGAGGTGTAAGGAGGATCTGTGCTGTAGCTATTTTCTACACTCTTACCTGGAATGAGTTGTCAGTAGTGTGCTTTGGTTACCTACACACTCTCCTTTCGATGGCAAAGATGAGATCCATTTTGAGCATACGTACCCATAGGAATAAATCAAATATTTTAATTTGTATGGTAGGAACGGCACGGGGGTGTTCATCTCGGACGTGGTGAAAGGGGGCGCAGCCGAGCTGGATGGCCGGCTAATGCAGGGGGACCAGATTATCTCTGTCAACAGAGACGACATGAGGCCGGCCTCGCAGGAGACGGTAGCTGCCATTCTCAAGGTGAGGGGTGGGGGGGTGGAACGGACCTAAAGGCTCACCGTCACACCAAAAAACAACCACATAGACTTGATGTATGAAATGGCCTTCAGTCCAGTTTGAATAAAACTGCCATCATAGACAAACACTCCGCAATTACAAAAAAAACACAGTAATCAATCACCGTAATCACAGACAAACAAATAACTACAGCCTTCACAGACAAACAAATAACTACAGCCTTCACAGACAAACAAATAACTACAGCCTTCACAGACAAACAAATAACTACAGACTTCACAGACAAACAAATAACTACAGCCTTCACAGGCAAACGAATAACTACTGCCTTCACAGACAAACAAATAACTCCAGCCTTCACAGACAATCAAATAACTCCAGCTTTCACAGACAAACAAATAACTCCAGCCTTCACAGACAAAAACAAAGAACTACACTAAAACAAATAACAGCTTATACTTGAAACACATGAAAGTAACACATCAAAGAACATCCCTCTCACTGTCACAGTCCAAAACAATAGAGAGCAATAGTAATGGAGTCTTTTTGTAGGCACTGTTCGTTGAACAAAGCCTATGGGAAAATTAATGTTTTTGGAGGGTTTTTGGATAAACGCCGAAAATAAGGTCTGTGGTAAACACAGGTTTAGGAAATATTATATGCTTTGTTCTATGAGAGAATCTTAATCAGCTAACGTCACTTTTTGTGAATTTTTATGCATTTATGTAATAATAAAAGCAGATTTAGCATATAAAGGCTTCATAATTCATAAAGGTCATGTTAACTGACTTATATTATCTCATAGAACAAAATGTATAAGATCTCCTAAGCCTGTGTTAACCTCAGACCTTATTTAAGGCATTTATTCCAAAACCCTGTTCTTTTCCAATTCATTTTGCCCATAGCAATGGCTGACCGAACCAGAGGTAAAATCATTTCCGTTTTTTTGGACTACAAGCTGGCAAGCGCTCTATACCAAGTCTGTCAGTAGCCACCAAACTCTTCTTCCTTCTTCCACAAGGGGTCACCATTGGTACAGTTATGTTCAAAGGCTGCAGTGCTCTCTAATGAAGTGGTGTGTTTTAAGCTGCATTGGTAGAGCTGAGGGGCTTTCTGGATGCAGTTCTTTACAATGTGGAGTCCCTCTGAAGTGGGTGCTTTGTGTGCCCATGCTACAGTGATGTACACTACGTTTACAGTGCCCTCACTGAGGTATATAGTAGCACCTTATCCTGTGCACTTGACAAATAAGGTTCTTTACATGGGTTGGGTTGTGTCTAAAGTAGTGCACTATGACTGAGTCCCAAATGGCACTAGTGTATGGAATAGGTTACCATTTAGGACGCGGCCTATGAGATGGAGACCCTGTAAGGTTGAAGTGCATGTCCTGTCCTCAGTAGTAAACATGGAAGTGGAGATCCTACCAGGTTGCAGTTCTATGCCATCAGACATTAGTGCACTAGGAAGTGGACACTGTAAGGTTAGTCCCTAGCTGCTCTGCTCATGGTAGTTACGTGCTGTTGCGCTACCTGTGCCTCTGCAGTGTGCCAGGGGGGTGGTGCTCTTGGAGCTGGGCCGACTGAAGGCTGCCTCCTGGATCTCTTCCAGACGCACCTCCCAGGGAAGCCAGGTGTGTGTGTGTGTGTGTGTGTGTGTGTGTGTGTGTGCGTGTGTGCGCCCATTCTCACCCCCGCTGCATGGGAGCTTGCATGCAGAAGCTCAGTCAGCGACTGACCCTGGCTGCTGTGTCATTAATACTCCTGTCTCCCCTCCTTCTCCTCCTCTCTCCATTCATCAGTTGCATGGAAGCCAAAATGGCCGACTGATGGACGTTTACCAGGTTCCTTCTGGTGTCACCTGTATGTCACTCACTCACCCACCCAGCCAAACTCACTGCCACCGGGCAGCAAGCTGTGCATGTGTGTGTGTTTTCTCCTGACTGGATCATAGCTCTGTTCCTCCTCCCTCCAGCAGATGAGTCACGTCAGTGCCAGCAGCACAATCGTCACGCCCCACCCCCCGCTAAACTCCACCCCCTCCACCTCTCAGCTCCTCAATAACGTCAGGAAGCCAATGACGGAGAGCATGACGTCATCACAGAGTGCAGGTAAATTAGGACCAGACACAGACACAGACCCTTTCCACAGAAAGTAGGACCAGACCCTTTCCACAGAGAGGAGGACAAGACCCTTTCCACAGAAAGTAGGACCAGACCCTTTCCACAGAGAGGAGGACCAGACCCTTTCCACAGAGAGGAGGACAAGACCCTTTCCACAGAAAGTAGGACCAGACCCTTTCCACAGAGAGGAGGACCAGACCCTTTCCACAGAAAGTAGGACCAGACCCTTTCCACAGAGAGGATTGACCAGACCCGGACCCTTCCCACAGACAGTGTAGATGTTGGAAAAGGCTCAGAAACTGCCCTGTCAATAGAAATCCCAATTAGTTCTGTGTGTAATTCCCATCCCCATCTTTTTCCCTCTCTGGGTTTGTCGTAGCTGCAGAAACAGGGATGCGCACTGTGGAGATCACAAGGGTAAGTTGAGCTGTCTCCAGTTATGTTTAGTTGGTTTAAACTACTCATGATATGCTAATTTATATTTATAGACCATACTGTATACTCTGCCAATTCAACTCTAGAAGCTTTATTGGCATGAAGAATATGACAACAATCACAACATCCTCTTCCTGATAATAGCATTGACGATCTCTCTCAGGGTCCTACTGATGCGTTGGGGATCAGTATAGCTGGGGGGAAGGGCAGTCCTCTGGGGGATATCCCCATCTTCCTGGCTATGATCCAGGCCAACGGGGTGGCAGCCAAGACGCACAGGCTCAAGGTGTGTGTGTCTGTGTGTGTGAGCCCACATCACAGTGTCTTAGAATCCCCTTACTGTTTGTGATGGCTCACGCTGGCACATGTGTGTGTGTGTGTGTGTGGGGGGGGGTGTGTGTGTGGGGGTGTGTCCTCCAGGTGGGTGATAGAATTGTGAGTATCAACTCCCAGTCTCTGGATGGCCTGTCCCATGGGGATGTGGTCACCATGCTGAAGAATGCCTACGGCAGCATCATTTTCCAGGTACACACACACACGCATGGAACACATACACACAGACACACAATATATATACACTACCAGTCAAAAGTTTGGTCACCTACTCAATCAAGGTTTTTTCGTTATTTGTACTATTTTCTACATTGTAGAATAATGGTGAAGACATCAAAACAATGAAATAACACATATGGAATCATGTACAGTGGCTTGCGAAAGTATTCACCCCTCTTGGCATTTTTCCTATTTTGTTGCCTTACAACCTGGAATTAAAATGGATTTGTTGGAGGTTTGTATCATTTGATTTACACAACATGCCTACCACTTTGAAAATGCAAAATATATATTTTTGTGAAACAACAAAGAAATAAGACAAAAAAACAGAACTTGAGCGTGCATAACTATTCACCCCCCCAAAGTCAATACTTTGTAGAGCCACCTTTTGCAGCAATTACAGCTGCAAGTCTCTTGGGGTATGTCTCTATAAGTTTGGCACATCTAGCCACTGGGACTTTTGCCCATTCTTCAAGGCAAAACTGCTCCTTAACGTTGGATGGGTTCCGCTGGTGTACAGCAATCTTGTCACACCCTGGCTCTGGGACTCATTATGTTGAGCCAGGGTGTGTTTATTTTATGTGTTTATTTCTATGTTGGGGGTTCTAGTTTGTTGATTTCTATGTTTGCCTGAGTGACTCCCAATCAGAGGCAACGAGTGTCAGCTGTTGGCTGGTTGTCTCTGATTGGGAGCCATATTTAAACTGTCTGTTTTCCCTTTGTGTTGGTGGGTCGTTTCTTGTTTTGTATTGAGTTTAAACTTTAACTAATTAAAGTATGTTTGTTCATCACGCTGCGCCTTGGTCTGTTCCATATGACGATCGTGACAGAAAAACCCACCATGCAACGACCAAGCAGCGTGTCCAGGGGCAGCTCTTGGGCTGGACATGGGAGGAAGCGCCGGGAGAAGAGAAGGTGGAGGCGCGCCGTAGAGAGGAGCAACGGCGTGATCAGGGTCGTCGTCGGGCGGTCGAGAGGCAACCCCAGAAATTTTTTAGGGGGGGGCACACGGCATGGACGACGGGGCTGACGGAGGCAAAAAAGGGGCGGATTCTGGAGGCCACCAGGTTACGGATACACCGCCCTGTACGTCCTGTGCGGATGCCTCACACAGAGTGTGTGAGGGTAGGCATTCAGCCAGGACGGGTTGTGGCCGCTCTTCACTCCAGGGCTCCTATCCGTCTCCACAGCCCGGTTCGGCCTGTCCCTGCTCCACGCACTAAGCCTACAGTGTGCGTCGCCAGCCCAGTCCGGCCAGTCCCTGCTCCACGCACCAAGCCTACGGTGTGCGTCGACAGCCCAGCCCGGCCTGTCCCTGCTCCACGCACCAAGCCTACGGTGTGCGTCGCCAGCCCGGTCCGGCCTGTCCCTGCTCCACGAACCAAGCCTACGGTGTGCGTCGCCAGCCCAGTCCGGCCTGTCCCTGCTCCACGCACCAAGTCTACGGTGCGCGTCGCCAGCCCGGCCCGGCCTGTTCCTGCCACTCGCACCAAGTATACGGTGCGCGTCGCCAGCCCGGCCCGGCCTGTTCCTGCCACTCGCACCAAGTCTACGGTGCACGTCGCCAGCCCGGCCCGGCCTGTTCCTGCCACTCGCACCAAGTATACGGTGCGCGTCGCCAGCCCGGCCCGGCCTGTTCCTGCCACTCGCACCAAGTATACGGTGCGCGTCGCCAGCCCGGCCCGGCCTGTTCCTGCCACTCGCACCAAGTCTACGGTGCGCGTCGCCAGCCCGGCCCGGCCTGTTCCTGCCACTCGCACCAAGCCAGGGGTGCGAGTCGTCAGCCTGGTAAAGGCCCGTCCCTCCTCCACGCACCAAGCCAGGGGTGCGAGTCGTCAGCATGGTAAGGCCCGTCCCTCCTCCACGCACCAAGCCAGGGGTGCGCGTCGTCAGCCTGGTAAGGCCCGTTCCTCCTCCACGCACCAAGCCAGGGGTGCGCGTCGTCAGTCCAGCACAACCCGTGCCTGGGTCACCGGTGCCTGGTAAGGTACCGGTCAACTGCTCCACTATGGAGCTGAAGCTAACCGCTCCTGCTAAGTCCAGTTCGGCTCCAGCCGGCGGGGCCAGACTGGACCAGGGCGCTATGGGGGGTGTATTGGAGGGTGGTGGTCAAGGCCGGAGCCAGAACCGCCGCCGAGGAGGTATGCCCGCCCAGCCCTCCCCTGTTTTGTTTAGTTGAGGCGCGGTCGCAGTCCGCGCCTTTAGGGGGGGGGGTACTGTCACACCCTGGCTCTGGGACTCATTATGTTGAGCCAGGGTGTGTTTATTCTATGTGTTTATTTCTATGTTGGGGGTTCTAGTTTGTTGATTTCTATGTTTGCCTGAGTGACTCCCAATCAGAGGCAACGAGTGTCAGCTGTTGGCTGGTTGTCTCTGATTGGGAGCCATATTTAAACTGTCTGTTTTTCCCTTTGTGTTGGTGGGTTTTTGTTCCGTGTTCGGTCATTGATACCGTTGGACGTCACGGGTCGTTTCTTGTTTTGTATTGAGTTTAAACTTTAACTAATTAAAATATGTTTGTTCATCACGCTGCGCCTTGGTCTGTTCCATATGACGATCGTGACAAATCTTTAAGTTATACCACAGATTCTCAATTGGATTGAGGTCTGGGCTTTGACTAGGCCATTCCAAGACATTTAAATATTTCCCCTTAAACCACTTGAGTGTTGCTTTAGCAGTATGCATAGGGTCATTGTCCTGCTGAAAGGTGAACCTCCGTCCCAGTCTCAAATCTCTGGAAGACTGAAACAGGTTTCCCTCAAGAATTTCCCTGTATTTAGCGCCATCCATCATTCCTTCAATTCTGACCAGTTTCACAGTCCCAGCTGATGGAAAAACATCCCCACAGCATGATGCTGCCACCACCATGCTTCACTGTGAGGATGGTGTTCTCGGGGTGATGAGTAGTGGTGGGTTTGTGCCAGACAGCGTTTTCCTTGATGGCCAAAAAGCTCAATTTTAGTCTCATCTGACCAGAGTACCTTCTTCCATATGTTTGGGGAGTCTTCCACATGCCTTTTGGCGAACACCAAACGTGTTTGCTTATTTTATTCTTTGATCAATGGCTTTTTTCAACCCAGCTCTGTGGAGTGTACGGCTTAAAGTGGTCCTATGGACAGATACTCCAATCACTGCTGTGGAGATTTGCAGCTCCTACAGGGTTATCTTTGGTCTCTTTGTTGCCTCTCTGATTAATGCCCTCCTTGCCTGGTCCGTGAGTTTTGGTGGGCGGCCCTCTCTTGGCAGGTTTGTTGTGGTTCAATTTTTTAATAATGGATTTAATGTTGCTCTGTGGGATGTTCAAAGTTACGGATATTTTTTTATAACCCAACCCTGATCTGTACTTCTCCACAACTTTGTCCCTGACCTGTTTGGAGAGCTCCTTGGGCTTCAGGGTGCCGCTTGCTTGGCGGTGCCCCTTGCTTAGTGTTGTTGCAGACTCTGGGGCCTTTCAGAACAGGTGTGTATATATACTGAGATCATGTGACAGATCATGTGAAACTTAGATTGCTCGTAGGTGGACTTTATTTAAATAATTATCTGACTTTTGAAGGTATTTGGTTGCACCAGATCTTATTTAGGGGCTTCATAGCAAAGGGGGTGAATACATATGCACGCACCACTTTTCCGTTATTTATTTTATAGAATTCTTTGAAACAAGTAATTTTTTTCATTTCACTTCACCAATTTCCACTATTTTGTGTATGTGCATTACATGAAATCCAAACTAAAATCAATTTAAATTACAGGTTGTAATGCAACAAAATAGAAAAAACGGCAAGAGGGATGAATACTTTTCCAAGGCGCTGTAGTAACCAAAAAAGTGTTAAACAAATCAAAATATATTTTATATTTGTGATTCTTCAAAGTAGCCACCCTTTGCCTTCATGACAGCTTTCCACATTCTCTCAACCACCTTCATGAGGTAATCACCTGGATTGCATTTCAGTTAACAGGTGTGCCTTGTTAAAAGTTAATTTGTGCAATTTCTTTCCTTCTTAATGCGTTTAAGCTAATCAGTTGTGTTGTGACAAGGTAGGGGTGGTATACAGAAGATATCCCTATTTTGTAAAAGACTAAGAACAGCTAAAATAAGCAAAGAGAAACGAAAGTCCATCATTACTTTAAGACATGAAGGTCAGTCAATGCGGAAAATTACAAGAACTTTGAAAGTTTCTTCAAGTGCAGTCGCAAAAACCATCAAGCGCTATGATGAAACTGGCTCTCATGAGGACCGCCACAAGAAAGGAAGACCCAGAGTTACCTCTGCTGCAGAGGATAAGTTAATTAGAGTTACCAGCCTCAGAAATTGCAGCCCAAATAAATGCTTCACAGAGTTCAAGTAACAGACACATCTCAACTGTTCAGAAGAGACTGCGTGAATCAGATCTTCATGGTCGAATTGCTGCAAAGAAACCACTACTAAAGACATCAATAAAAAGAAGAGACTTGCTTGAGCCAAGAAACACAAGCAATGGACATTAGACCGGTGGAAATCTGTCCTTTGGTCTGATGAGTCCAAATTTGAGATTTTTGGTTCCAACCGCTGTGTCTTTTTGAGACGCAGAGTAGATGAACAGATGATCTCTGCATGTGTAGTTCCCACCCTGAAGCATAGAGGAGGAGGTGTGATGGTGTGGGGGTGCTTTGCTGGTGATACTGTTGGTGATTTATTTAGAATTCAAGGCACAGTTAACCAGCATGGCTACCACAGCATTCTGCAGCGATACGCCATCCCATCTGGTTTGCACTTGTTTTTCAACAGGACAATGACCCAACACACCTCTAGGCTGTGTAAGGCGGCTATTTGACCAAGAAGGAGAGTGATGGAGTGCTGCATCAGATGACCTGACCTCCACAATCACCCGACCTCAACCCAATTGAGATGGTTTGAGATTAGTTGGACCGCAGAGTGAAGGAAAAGCAGCCAACAAGTACTCAGCATATGTGGGAACTCCTTCAAGACTGTTGGAAAAGCATTCCAGGTGAAGCTGGTTGAGAGAATGCCAAGAGTGTGCAAAGCTTTCATCAAGGCAAAGGGTGGCTACTTTGAAGAATCTCAATAATAAAAATATTTTGATTTGTTTAACACATTTTTGGTTATTACATGATTCCAATATGGTGTTATTTCATAGTTTTGATGTCTTCACTATTATTCTACTATGTAGAAAATAGTAAAAATAAAGAAAAACCCTTGAATGAGTAGGTGTGTCCAAACTTTTGACTTGTACTGTATATACAGCGCATTCGGAAAGTATTCAGACCCCTTGACTTTTTCGACATTTTGTTACGTGACACCTTTGGCAGCGATTATTGAGTCTTCATGGGTATGATGCTACAAGCTTGGCACACCCCTATTTGGGAGTTTCTCCCATTCTTCTCTGCAGATCCTCTCAAGCTCTGTCAGGTTGGATGGGGAGCGTCACTGCACAGCTATTTTCATGTCTCTCCAGAGATGTTTGATCGGGTTCAAGTCCGGGCTCTGGCTGGGCCACTCAAGGACATTCAGAGACTTGTCCAGAAGCCACTCCTGCGTTGTCTTGGTTGTGTGCTTAGGGTCGTTGTCCTGTTAGAAGGTGAACCTTCGCCCCAGTCTGAGTCTTTCCCTTGATCCTGACTAGACTCCCAGTCCCTGCCGCTGAAAATATCCCCACAGCATGATGCTGCCACCACCATGCTTCACCGTAGGGATGGTGCCAGGTTTCCTCCAGACGTGACACTTGGCATTCAGGCCAATGAGTTCAATCTTGGTTTCATCAGACCAGAGAATCTTGTTTCTCATGGTCTGACAGTCTTTAGGTGCCTTTTGGCAAACTCCAAGCGGGCTGTCATGTGCCTTTTACTGAAGAGTGGCTTCTGTCTGGCCACTCTATCATAAAGGCCTGATTGGTGGAGTGCTGCAGAGATGGTTGTCCTTCTGGAAGGTTCTCCCATCTCAAAAGAGGAACTCTAGAGCTCTGTCAGAGTGACCATTGGGTTCTTGGTCACCTCCCTGACCAAGGCCCTTCTCCCCCGATTGCTCAGTTTGGCCGGGTGGCCATCTCTAGGAAGAGTCTTGGTGGTTCCGAACGTATTCCATTTAAGAATGATGGAGGCCACTGAGTTCTTGGAGACCTTCAATGTTTTGGTACCCTTCCCCAGATCTGTGCCTCAACACAATCCTGTCTCGGAGCTCTACGGACAGTTCCTTCGACCTCATGGCTTGGTTTTTGCTCATGCACTGTCAACTGTTGGACCTTATATAGACAGTTGTGTGCCTTTCCAAATCATGTCCAATCAATTGAATTTACCACAGGTGGACTCCAATCAAGTTGTAGAAACATCTCAAGGATTATCAATGGAAACAAGATGCACATGAGCTCAATTTCGAGTCTCATAGCAAAGGGTCTGAATACTTATGTAAATAAGGTATTTCTGTTTTTTATTTTTAATAAATGTGCTAAAATTTCAAGAACCTGTTTTCTCCGTCATTATAGGGTATCGTGTGTAGATTGATGAGGGAAAAAAATAATTAAAACCTTTTTAGAATAAGGCTGTAACGTACCAAAATGTGGGGTCTGAATACTTTCCGAATGCACTGTACACACACACACACACACATCTCTGTATGGTCAAATGAAGTATCAGTTATCAAACGTAATGACACCCATCACCCAATGTAACCATATTATGCTTTTTACTTGCCTATTATTTTACATCCATCAAATAAATGTTTTCTGATAAGATATGTAAATAAAATCATTTTTTAAAATATACATTCTTGAAAAACTGAACTGCATGTGTATGTGTTTAGCAGTGTGTGTACTGTGTGTACCGTATGTGTGTGCATTAGAAGATACTGCTGTGTGTGTGTGTCCAGCATGTTGCAGCCGGCTGGCAGTTTTGCCAGATAATATCAGGCCTTTATGCTAATGCTGCTTTATCAGTCCGGCTCCAGGAGCCTCAGCACTGGACTGTTAGACTGGGCTGTTAGACTGGGCTGCTAGTCTGGACTGTTAGACTGGACTGTTAGTCTGGGCTGTTAGACTGGACTGTTAGACTGGACTGTTAGACTGGGCTGCTAGTCTGGACTGTTAGTCTGGGCTGTTAGTCTGGACTGTTAGACTGGAATGTTAGACTGGGCTGTTAGTCTGGACTGTTAGTCTGGACTGTTAGACTGGGCTGTTAGACTGGACTGTTAGACTGGGCTGTTAGTCTGGGCTGCTAGTCTGGACTGTTAGTCTGGGCTGTTAGTCTGGACTGTTAGACTGGAATGTTAGACTGGGCTGTTAGTCTGGACTGTTAGTCTGGACTGTTAGACTGGGCTGTTAGACTGGGCTGTTAGACTGGGCTGTTAGTCTGGACTGTTAGACTGGGCTAGCCCTGCTGCCTGGTGCTGATTACACCACACACACACCACCCAGGACACCCAGCAATTACTGTCTGACTCGATCTCTCTCTGCCCCCTCTTACGTTCTTGTTCGCAACTTTGGTCTGGAATCCTTAGTGGTCAAACTGCCACGTCCGTTTGCGATATTACAACAACAAAGAAGTTACTGCAAACAAGAAAACACAGTTTTTCCCCCTCTGACATCACTGCAACACGTCAGAACAGCAGGATATGTACTGCCATGGTGGTGGGGTGGCCAGTGGTGCGGTTTCCCCCTGCTGGGGATTCCATCTAACAAAGGAAGAGAACATTCTCTCTCTCTCTCTCTCTCTCTCTCTCTCTCTTCCCCTTCTCTCTCTACAATCCACTCTCTCTCTCTCTCTCTCTCTCTCTCTCTCTCTCGCTCTCTCTCTCTCTCTCTCTCTCTACCCCTACCCTCCCCCTCTTTCTCTCCCTCCTCCTATCTCTCCCTCCACCTCTCTCTCCATAAAGAAGGTGTGTCTGTAAGATAAGTGCAGGCGATGGCTTGGAAGCGTTCCACTAACGTTCCCTCCGCAGCCCACCAGTCGTCCGTTAATCGTCCATTAATTAACCTTTGTTGTTGTTTTCATATTTTTAATTGCCTCTCGGTTGATTAAATATGGAAATGAACAGATGCTGACAGACCGTCGCCACCCTCAATAGGTGGCTGACTGAATATTTCATTTTAAAAAGAAAACTAAAGGGGGGGGGGGGGGGGGGGGGTGTAAAAGAGAGAGAGGAGTGATAAATGATTGCTACATTAGGCCTTTGTGTGGCTGTGATCCAGGACCTGTCTGTAGTAAAATCCATTCTTCAGTAATTCTATTCAGCCATGAAGGATGTTAAAGGTTTCAAATAGGGGGGTGATTTTAAACACAAATCGCATGTACGTTGATATGATATACACTGACAGTCATCCTTGTCTACAACACACACACACACAGACACACACATGCACAGATCATGCCTTGTTAATAATAATTGAAAAACTTGACACGTGCATTGTTTTGTCTCCTGTCATTTGTGCATACTAATCTGTGTGTGTGTGTGTGTGTGTGTTTTAAAGGTGATCGCTGACACCAACATCAGTGCTATAGCCAGTCAGGTGGAGAGTATGTCGACTAGCAGCAGCCCCGAGACACAGCCAGGGGAGCCAGAGTAAGTCGGACTCATTTTCTCTTAGACACTGATCTGAGGTCAGTTTTGTGCCTTCTCCCCTAAAGGTTAAAGGAACAAAAAGCAGTCACCCAGCCACTTGTTTGATAAACAGCTGAGGGCTAGGGCTGGAGAAATGTAACCGCTCCCAAATTCATAGACCGAGCAATGGATGCATGAGATCAAAATAATAGTTTTTTCCCAGTTTTGAAGCTATACAGTGCTTGTTTTACAATTTGATGCTCTCTGCAGAGCCCCCAAGCCAAAGAGTATCTGCCTGGAGAAGGGTTCTGACGGCCTGGGCTTCAGCATCGTAGGAGGCTTCGGAAGCCCTCATGGAGACCTGCCCATCTACATCAAGACTGTCTTCAGCAAGGTAACCATCTGTAGCTCTGCACCATCACACACATGCAGGGTAATGTGACTTGTACTGATTTCCCCTCTGGGACATTAGATGGCAGCAGATTCCCTCCCCCACACACACACACACACACAAACAGATCAGTGATTACTTAAAAGGGAGGAAGGATCATAAGGTTGCATTTAAAAATACTGTAACAAGGCCAATTTTCTTATTTCCACCACTTTGCGTGTGTGTGTCTGTGTGTGTTCCCCTGTTGTCGCTGCAGGGGGCAGCAGCAGTGGACGGGCGTCTGAAGAGGGGCGACCAGATCTTGTCTGTGAACGGAGAGAGTCTGGAAGGGACCACACACGAGCTGGCTGTGGCCATATTGAAGAGACAGAGAGGGGCCGTCACCCTGGAAGTGCTGTCCTAGCTCACACACACACTGTACCCCTTGAACTGGTTTGAACTTTCCAACATGTTCTGTGGAGTTGACCAACAACTGATGCCCGTCTTCAGGCCTTTAAACAGCCCATTAACGTGAAGGGGGCATTGGTTCTGGAAGGATTCAGCCAATAGGTAACACAGGTGGCTGTTCCAGGGAGAGAGAGAACACGTGTGCCACGTTCAGCTGTGTCCTCAAGTGAACCATTGGAAATAAGAGTAGGGGCACCTCATTTCCTGTGTGCCATCTTAGGAGCTTCACTGTGAGGGCGGTTCAATCGCTGCACTGACTGGATACACGACTCAAAATGGTGAACGTTTGGATATTATGAAGCAAGGAAGCAAAGGGGCAAGCTTTATATGTGAACAATGTGAATATCCGATCTCTTTATGTCATTTCAAATTTGTGTGATCACACATGTGCTTTCTTCATAGAACACTGATAGAGCAATATGAGTGGTTCAGTTGGTTTAGGAGGTCTCTTCACCGTTAGCCTAGCGTTAGCTTAGCATCTCCCTTATCGGGAGACACTGGTTAGCCGTTAGCGATGTTAGCTGCAGTTACTGCTAATGTGCAAACTGCGAGGAGGAATGGTCTCGGCAGGGAACAGGGCTATGATGCACTAAACTGGAACAGATACTACACACACGCACACAATATATGCTAGCTAGTCACTGTCAGGTTGACACGTTCTCATTCATCACAGACACTTGTCCATCTGTCTCATATCATGTCATACTTGGTGCAAACACACAATTTAAACTCCTAGTGTCTGGCTTTTACACAACACTACTCCGTTCAACAGTGATGAGGCTAGACATGGCCAAAATAACTGGTAAACAGCCATGCACTTCTAATACACTTCATAGCATGCTCGTAAGAATGACATAACACCCTCTGTAGACATTAAAAGGCAGTTATAAAGGCCACCCAACTACCGGCTGGTATGTCACTATACAGTACCTTGTGTAGTCCTGCAAGAAGTTGCTGTAAGATTTTGTAGGCGTCACGAGGAAACTTTTTTTTTTTTTTTTAAGATGTGAGACAGGTTATTAGTACACGAAGTGTTGACAAATAATCTGAACCCGCTTCGAATTCGAGACTAGGAAAAATGTGTACTGTATGCGTGTGTTTGTCAGATCAGTTGCCATTAGCAGTACAATGTAATGTAGGCGAATCTCAGGACTTCCATCAGGCATTGTGAGTCTGTTGCTGGGGTTTGCTTTACACTAGTGGGGGTGAGTATGGAGGGTAGCCAAATAGTTAGCCAAATCTTTACCTCCTTTGTTGCTGGCCATGGAATAGCCCTGTAAGCCTATAGGTCCTATGAAATGGTGTCAAAATACATCCATGTCTTAACTAGCCTGGTCCCAGATTTTTGTGCTACATTGTCACGCCAAACCAGACAGCACAAACAGGTCTGGAACCAGGCTATGTCTTACTGGTTGAAGGGGGATGGGATATTATGCTATTGTGATATGCTATTATGAAATGATGCTATGATATTGTGATATGCTATTATGATATTATGCTATTTCTGCTTTGAGTGGGATCATTCACTTCCTATCCAATCCTCCACCAACTATAATTTTAATGTGTTAGTGGACTGGACACGTTTCAACAAGGTGCTAATACTTTTAGTTTTACCTGCCTTTATGTCATATGGATGGTACTACATGTATGTTACTGTAAGCTTATTCTTTAGCCTGTCACAGTAAAACAATTATTATTTTTACATCATTTTTGGGAACTATGAGAATCAACAATGATCCATTATTTTCTTGTTATGAGACGCATTTATCATCATGTAGCAGGGTTGTATTCATTAGGCACCAAATGGAAGAAAATTGACTGAAACAGGAAAGGACAACCTGAACTTGTCCAATAGGAGACACTCGTTTTCATTTTACGAAGAAAAACATTTTGCTACGGTGTGCATTAATGAATACGACCCATGTCTGTCTGTAGCTTCACACTGTCCTGTCCAGCGGCGAGAAGCTTGCCACGTCCAACAATGACAGGATATACTGTTTCTCTTGGAGCCCTTCGTCTGTCTCCTGTAAACCCCTCCACGCTCACAGGAAGTGACAACGCGTTCCTCCAAGACACTTTGAGGCCCCCTCTGGGATGTGTTCATTAGGCACCAAACTGGGAAAATGGTCTGAAACAAGGAGGGACTACCTGAACTTAATGAAAAAATACTTGTTTTTGTTTTCCGTCGCAAACCATTTTGCTACGCTGTGCCCTAATGAATACGACCCTGGTCAACACTGTATATTACCCTGCATATTAACTCTCAAACCGTGCCCGTCTCAGTTAAAGTTGAAGTGCAATCTGGTGGCAATATCTAGTAGGTTGTGTCTTAAATGTGTGCCCTAAATACTCAGAAGTCAAATCAAAACAAATGTATTGGTCACATACAAATATTTAGCAGATGTTATTGCGGGTGTAGCGAAATGCTTGTAAGAATATATGTTTTATTGTCACATACACCTTGGTAGTCTTTACAGGGTCAGCCATAGTAGTATGGCACCGCTGGATCAAATTAGGGTTAAATGCCTTGCACATTGACAGATTTTTCACCTTTTCGGTTTGGGTATTCAAACCAGCGACGTTTCGGTTACTGGTCCAACACTCTAACCGCTAGGCTACCTGCCATCCCCAGGATTGAGAGGAAGTGTTCTACTAGTCCCGTGTGGAGCCTCTTAAGGGAACTACTGCTTTGCCATAAGTCTCTGATGTGCTAGAATTGACAGTGGGTGTTTATCATATGTCAGTCTTAGTTCTGTGAGAGCCTAGCGCTGTCAAGTCTTAATGCTCAATCCCTTTAAACGCATACATATCTGGCCACTCTCTCTCGCGCGCTGCTGTCATCCTGTGATCTCTCCATCTACTGTAGAATTTTTGCTTGTCCTATGCATGTCACTCAGCAATAGGCTGTGTGTGTGTGTGTGTGTGTGTGTACACATGCGTGAGTGTTTGTTCATCAGAAGTTGTACTGATGATGATGATGATCCTGTAACTCCCAATAATTCCTTCTTATGATGCCACCGATGAACTGACTTGCTCGACCTTAGCGCCACAGAAAACATCTTTATTCACCTCATTGATCGTTGGTCCCCTGTAGCTCAGTTGGTAGAGCATGGCGCTTGCAACGCCAGGGTTGTGGGTTCGTTTCCCACGGGGGGCCAGTATGAAAATTTATGCATTCACTAACTGTAAGTCGCTCTGGATAAGAGCGTCTGCTAAATGACTAAAATGTTGTTGTTTTTTAATAATCCAAACAAACGATGCGTGACAAGCTATGCTGTAATAACGTGGATATACAGTATATATATCTATAGAAGAAATTGTATGAAAAATATATTGTCTACGATCACAGATGCAAGTCTTACCTTTAAATGTGTGTAGCCTACTGACTGTGTTCCTACATTGATGCTCTTTATGACTTCTGATGAATTGTTTGATGATGATGTATGTTTTATTAAATACAAGGGGACCGCAACCATTTCCACCATGTCCTCCCTCTAATCTTCAAGTGTGGCTGTTCTTAAAATGAATTGTCATTCTACCATGTGTCATTGATACACTGATAAGGAATATCTCAGTTGCTTCCATTGTTATGAGGATTGCAGTGGGCTAAATCACAGTGTTTCTTGGTAGTTTTAAACAAATCTACTTTGAAACCAAAGTATCCACCTCACACACATGGTTATCGGCTTTTAAAAAAAGACGACACCTGTACCATGTCAGATATAGAGTTGAAATGTATTCAATTTTGAGTTTACATCCCAATATTACACTGTATATACATCACAGAAGACTGAAATACTGTATAACAAAACGGTTTGACATAGAAACACCAGATTTTCTGCTGTTTTTTAAAAGATATTAATAACATTCCACCCATGAGGCCACTAGAGTGCAATTTGGTCATTTGACTGCAGGAAAGGGTTTTAAGTGTTCAATTACACTTTAGGCCCATACTGTATGTGCTGTAGCTTTTAAAACAAATCAGAAATAGTTTTTGGACATCAATATCTAAGATTCACTTTAATGGATATCTACTGATCTTTAAACTTTTTGATACTTGCTTGGAGTGCTCTTGGTAAATTGCCTTCGCATGTCTCTGAAACTACGTGTTTGTGTGTGTCCACGACAAACCACAGATTGGTGGCTTGTATTGTTCCTCATCGGTCACATGGTAGTGACTTTGTCCTCAATGCCTTCAACGTCCATGTTCTCATATGCACTCTCGTGATCGCTGCTCCTGTGGGACCCACACACACACACACACACCTATTAGAACACAAGCCCTACTGTAATTGCACACTCACCAACATTATTTATCTGTAGGTCACCAGTACTGTTAGAAATGTAGACCACAAAACAAGAGAGATGAAGTGGAAATAAGTGGCATCTTACCTGAACATGTCCAGACTGGTATCATAGTGGTCTCCATTGGTCTTGACATAGCCAGGGGTCTTCCCACACTCACATTCTTTGGTCTCTGGCCTTCATGCAATCGAGAACAGATGGTAAACATACAGTAAGAATGCTCCCTTACGTTCAGATTCAGAACCAATTATAACGTCTTGTCAATCTCATGTCGTTGGGTGCAGGTGGAAAAACGAGATTGGGCTAGAGACTCTAAAGACCCAATACTTGTGTCCCAACACTCATTACATCTTAAATGATTTACTTTAGGACCATGATGTGCATGGCCATGTCTGAAAACCTTAGCTGTCAAATCCTCGCTTCCTCGATTCCTCACCTCGTTCTCAAAGGTAGGTCATTGGCAGAGCAGGTCCGAGACAGTAACCTTGGATCCTCTCCTCCAATGTGCTTTGAGAGTGGGATGATGAATTGCGCAAAGAAGGACAGCAGAAGCAAGGATTTGACGCCAAGAAACGTTTTCAGACGTTGACTGTCCTACTACAGTAGCTGTGTGGACTGTGGAGATGGTCAAGTGTTGTGGTGTCTTGGCTCACCTCGAGTCTTGACACCAGGCCTTGTTGACCAGAAACGCCACGAAGATGAGGAAGAGAAACCCGGTCACAGCTATGATGCCCGTCAGCCACTGTGGCAGTGCCCGCTCCACCTTATCTTATCAGGACATAAGGGGGAAAGTCATCATTGGATACCGGTATGTATACTTAAAGGTGCAATACGCAGAAATCTCTCCCCATTTCCTGCTTGCTAAAATTCGAATAGTTCGCCTAATTTCAGTTAATGTGACAAAACAAGAGAATAATTGTACCATCTTAACCGCTGTGAAATATATCTTCAATAACTAAAAATATATTTTCAGCTGTTTGAGACTGGTGTACAAAACCGAAAGTAAAAGACAAAAACTAAACTTAAGACCGGTAAGCATAGAAATAGAGCACATAGAACAGATCTATAACTAGCATTTCTATCTGAATTTGGTCGGGTCGCCCAAAAAGTTACATTTTGCGGCTTTAAAGGTGCCCAATTAAGCAATCATTTTTATTCCACATGTTTCAGGTGCAATTGCTGCATAGAGCATCTTTAAAAGTGCAATATGTACCTATAGTTTTCCTAGTGTCAACTCGAAGTACTACAAACACATTCAGCCAAGAATCAAATGTTTTAACAAATAAAAACATACAGTTACATACACCAAGGCCCACCCGCTCAGATTACAAACAAGTGCAGAGGTAACACTTACGACTGGGCATGTAAGTTACAGGTTGCACCTTTAAGTGTTTTTGATCAATTTAGACAATGCAGTATGTCTGTCACTTGTCATTCTAATGTTCTGTGATGTGATTTTCATTCTCTTGAGATATCGTCCCAGTTGATGGGATTATTAACATGGCAGTCAAGATAAACTATTGAGTGACACTATTAATTTATCCTTCAGCCTGGAGGTGTGTTGGGTCATTGTCCTGTTGAAAAACAAATAATAGTCCCACTAAGCGCAAAGCAGATGGGATGGCGTTTCGCTGCAGAATGCTGTGGTAGCCATGCTGGTTAAGTGTGCCTTGAATTCTAAATAAATCACCGACAGTGTCACCAGCAAAGCACCCCCACACCATCACACCTCCTCCTCCATGCTTCACGGTTGGAACCACACATGTGGAGATCATCCGTTCACCTACTCTGTGTCTCACAAAGACACAGCGGTTGGAACCAAAAATCTCAAATTTGGACTCACCAGACCAAAGGATAGATTTCCACCAGTCTAATGTCCATTGCTTGTGTTTCTTGACCCAAGCAAGTCTCTTCTTCTTATTGGTGTCCTTTGGTAGTGGTTTCTTTGCAGCAATTCGACCATTAAGGCCTGATTCAAGCAGTCTCCTCTGAACAGTTGATGTTGAGATGTGTCTGTTACTTGAACTCCGTGAAGTATTTATTTGGGCTGCAATTTCTGAGGCTGGTAACTCTAATGAACTTATCCTCTGCAGCAGAGGTAACTCTGGGTCTTCCATTCCTGTGGCGGACCTCATGAGAGCCAGTTTCATCATAGCGTTTAATGGTTTTTGCAACTGCACTTGAAGAAACGTTCAAAGTTCTTGAAATGTTCCGTGTTGACTGACCTTCATGTCTTAAAGTAATGATGGACTGTCGTTTCTCTTTGCTTATTTGAGCTGTTCTTGCCATAATATGGACTTGGTCTTTTATCTTCTGTATACCCCCCCACCTTGTCACAACACAACTGATTGGCTCAAACGCATTAAGAAGGAAAGAAATTTCACAAATTAACTTTTAAGAAGGCACACCTTTTAATTGAAATGCATTCCAGGTGACTACCTCATGAAGCTGGTTGAGAGAATGCCAAGATTGTGCAAAGCTGTCATCAAAGGCAAATGGTGGCTATTTGAAGAATCTCAAATATAAAATATACTTTGATTTGTTTAACACTTTTTTAGTTACTACATGATTCCATATGTGTTATTTCATAGTTTTGATGTCTTCACTATTATTCTACAACATAAAAAAATTGTAAAAAATAAAGAAAAACCCTTGAATGAGTAGGTGTGTCCAAACTTTTGACTGGTAGTGTATGTATGTGTGTGTATATATATTATGCTTCCCACTATTATCAACAGTGAGTTGGAACAGCATGCAGTCACATAAGGCAGCTATTTCTTTATGTAGACTACCATTAACTTCAAATTTAACCATGAGTTTCAGTTCTTACCTATTTGAGCTGTGCCTACTCCCAAAGTCAGCATCAGCCATAGAACCACAATAGACGCTCTCCCCATTGTTGAGTCTTGCTGAAAATCCACAAAATGTTGTTTTTAGATAACAAAATGGCCTTGCGAGTAGCTCCTCAGAATAGGTTTGTTCTATGTAGCTCACTGATGTTTTTTGGTGTGTAAAGAACACACATCCTGGTGCTGTATTCGGTTAATGACTAAACCATGCCTGCTTAGACAAACAACTGGTGATGAATCAGTAATAATAGCCATAACCTCAAGTTTTATTTGTTGATTTTGGAAAGTGATTGACATTTGTAGGACAGAGAGATTAATTTGCACATCTAATATAATAACAATATTAGCATATTTTCTGTTAATAGATGGATGGCCTACAAATGTCCACTTCAATACATAACACTTGGGACAGGGGATTTTCCAATACAGTGACCAGGAAGCAGACTAGATAAACAGACTCCAATAGCAGCTCAGTGAAAACACATAGAAACCTGGAGAATAAACAGTAATCTTTGAAGAAGGACTTTGGCTTGGTGAGTGTTAAATCAGTCTCATGACCACACTTCTAATATGTCACTGGAGGTTCTAGTTTAAATAGATCCCTTGAACTCTGTTTTTGCCCAGTAAGGAGTTAGACAAAAGAAAAGTATTATAGTAGATTATTTTAGGCTGAATTAAACAGCCCTCTCCAGCTTCATATATAATTTAACATGATTTAGAGTTGCATACGGGGATGTTTTTTTTGGTTTTTTTTAATTAATTTTTTTAACCTTTATTACTTTCCAACCCCACCACCCCTTCCCTAATTGGAGTAAACTAGTGAACAACAACGCTTAGGCCTCTACTTCCAGCTTATACATACTATATACAGTGAGGGAAAAAAGTATTTGATCCCCTGCTGATTTTGTACGTTTGCCCACTGACAAAGAAATGATCAGTCTATAATTTTAATGGTAGGTTTATTTGAACAGTGAGAGACAGAATAACAACAACAAAATCCAGAAAAACGCATGTCAAAAATGTTATAAATTGATTTTCATTTTAATGAGGGAAATAAGTATTTGACCCCCTCTCAATCAGAAAAATGTCTGGCTCCCAGTTTTCTTTTGTACAGTTAACGAGCTGAGATTAGGAGCACACTCTTAAAGGGAGAGCTCCTAATCTCAGCTTGTTACCTGTATAAAAGACACCTGTCCACAGAAGCAAGCAATCAATCAATCAGATTCCAAACTCTCCACCATGGCCAAGACCAAAGAGCTCTCCAAGGATGTCAGGGACAAGATTGTAGACCTACACAAGGCTGGAATGGGCTACAAGACCATCGCCAAGCAGCTTGGTGAGAAGGTGACAACAGTTGGTGTGATTATTCGCAAATGGAAGAAACACAAAAGACCTGTCAATCTCCCACGGCCTGGGGCTCCATGCAAGATCTCACCTCGTGGAGTTGCAATGATCATGAGAACGGTGAGGAATCAGCCCAGAACTACACGGGAGGATCTTGTCAAATGATCTCAAGGCAGCTGGGACCATAGTCACCAAGAAAACAATTGGTAACACACTACGCCGTGAAGGACTGAAATCCTGCAGCGCCCGCAAGGTCCCCCTGCTCAAGAAAGCACATATACAGGGCCGTCTGAAGTTTGTCAATGAACATCTGAATGATTCAGAGGAGAACTGCGTGAAAGTGTTGTGGTCAGATGAGACCAAAATCGAGCTCTTTGGCATCAACTCAACTCGCCGTGTTTGGAGGAAGAGGAATGGTGCCTATGACCCCAAGAACACCATCCCCACCGTCAAACATGGAGGTGGAAACATTATGCTTTGGGGGTGTTTTTCTGCTAAGGGGACAGGACAACTTCACTGCATCAAAGGGACGATGGACGGGGCCATGTACCGTCAAATCTTGGGTGAGAACCTCCTTCCCTCAGCCAGGGCATTGAAAATGGGTCGTGGATGGGTATTCCAGCATGACAATCACCCAAAACACACGGCCAAGGCAACAAAGGAGTGGCTCAAGAAGAAGCACATTAAGGTTCTGGAGTGGTCTAGCCAGTCTCCAGACCTTAATCTCATAGAAAAGAGGTTGAAGGTTCGAGTTTCCAAATGTCAGTCTCAAAACCTTAATGACTTGGAGAAGATCTGCAAAGAGGAGTGGAACAAAATCCCTCCTGAGATGTGTGCAAACCTGGTGGCCAACTACAAGAAACGTCTGACCTCTGTGATTGCCAACAAGGGTTTTGCCACCAAGTACGAAGTCATGTTTTGCAGAGGGGACAAATACTTATTTCCCTCATTAAAATGCAAATCAATTTATAACATTTTTGACATACGTTTTTCTGGATTTTTTTGTTGTTATTCTGTCTCACTGTTCAAATAAACCTACCATTAAAATTATAGACTGATCATGTCTTTGTCAGTGGGCAAACGTACTAAATCAGCAGGGGATCAAATACTTTTTTTCCTCACTTTACATTTTAAATTTTATGGACCCAGTCAATTTTACAATTATTTTATTTTGTTTGTTTTTACTCCTGAACTTCCCCTACCCTCAACCTCTCTGATCATTTTCATGATGTCCATCCGGTTTGCTTCAATATGCCATATCTCTCCAACTGTGCTACTTCACAAAAGCTCTCAACCTATAACCTATATACTTATTATGGACACAGTATGCCCTACATTAGTTATCTTGCTGTTATTAGTTGTTGTTAGTTGTTATTAGTCCCATCCTTCAGCTCCATTCAACACCTCCCATCTGTCTCTTAACACCAACCATATTGGATTTCTATTTGCCATATATTTTTCAACTGTACTGTGATGTTTCACAAAAGTTCTGAACCATTCTATTCTCATTGTTTCTACAGATTGTAAATTTAAAATATTTTTTTTTGCT